ATTCAAAATAGTTCTATAATTGTCTTCTATTGCATCCTTTGAGATTACTTTGACAAAGGTGCTCTTTCACTCCAAACGCATTTTTCTTGTGGGCAAAGGGGTACTGGAGTAGTTTCCACAAAAGAAGATCCTTTCTACTTATCCCGCCCAGCACTCCCCCAGGCTGCTTTTACCTACACTCTCTCCCTGGGTCAGGTAGCTCAAGGCTAATAGCATATGGCCTCCCAAGGATTTTGACTGAGGCCAGGTCAGTTCAAGCTCACATGTGCTAGGAAGAACTTTGAAACAAGGTGAAGAATTAAACAGTTGGGCTAATTCAGACAATAAGCCACCTCTGATGTCAGTTCCAAACCACGGCAGCTGGCCCTCTGTAGGGAGACCCAGAGGTCATTCAGGTGAGTTACAAGATCGATGACTTTCCATACTTTCTAAAACTCTGCACCATGTTTCCCATCATCGACTGCCTTTTCCTCTCACCCAATTCATGGAAATGTGTCTTTTCTGCACCGAAATCCAGGGTTGATTTTTGCATTGAGTTGTAAAATGGTCTTAGTGCTTTCACTCAAAGAGAAATGCCCTTCCCTGCTAAATAAAACGATTACTATTACCAAGACCGACCTGCCTCCACAAAATCTGAGACTGCACCCACTTTGTTTGGCCTTAGATGGATGGTGATCAATAAGAACTTAATAACTGCGAACAGCTCCCAGAGCATGTTCATGGACGAGGAGGGTAACTGATAAAGCAAAGCAAACAAAAGGAGCAGACCCTTTCCAGCCACGCTGCCTCTCATGGAAGTCTGAAAGTCAAAGAGGATTGTTTAGATCCAGTTTTCACATAGGGTTTTACTGTTAGCCTAAATCATGTGACTCAGATTAGTGTGCACAATGTTTTAAGTAAACAAAACCTTGCTACCATATTAAAAAGAGCTTGGGTTCACAAATTAAACATTGTCAGGCGCATTGGTTTGTCTGTGCTTCGCAGCCCAATGAAAGGATGCAGTACTTTCAGCACGTCAGTCAGTAAATAGATTTCAGACGGGCCAGAGGGAAAAACTGGGTTACTGGCAGCTACTAAAATTGTCTTTTCCCCCACCATCCCATGGCACTCTCCGTAGACTCAGAGTAGTGCAGTTGTTGTGTTTATTTTTCCCCAGTTGTGAGGCTAGTGAATGACCACAAGCCCCCAGCATCTATTTCATCTAGCTAGGAGGAGTGCCAGCGTCACCAACACAGTGTAGGACCACTGAGGTCACCCTAGATCTCTGGCACTCCCCCAATTGGGGAAAGTGAACAGAGTCACAGAGGGCTGGTGATCCGACGGGAGAGAGGTATGAATCTGTAAAGAAGCAGGGGAGAAATAAGAAAACAGCATGAAAATGCAGAGCGCGAGAGAGACATGCAGGAAGCAGAGAGAAGGAAAGCCGCTGGGGCTCCAACCTAGGGGACCAGCTGGCCCGCTTCGACTGAGCTCGGGACATAAGTTGGCCTAGCGCTTTTCCTCACGGACACTGGGTGGCGCTCGTGGTAAAGACTTGCACTTCCCTTAGGGTTTTCCTCCCACCTCCGCACCCACCCACTCCCCCGCTCGCAGAGTTCGGTTACTGAAAGACGAAATGACTCACCTTCTTCCTGCGAGTCGCAGCTACAGTTCGGGAGTTTGATGCCGTGGGGCTCATTCTGCGCGGATGGTCCTGCTTGCGGTGGGGTGGGGGCGAGGCGGGTTGAAATTCGCAACCGCGTCGCGCCCCTTGGCTTTAAAGCAAAGCTCGGGGTCTCATGTCAGAACCACCCCACAAGCCCAGTAAAAGATGTGGGTGTGCGCGTGGGCACCCCCGTGGGTGTGCGGCCCGAGCGCGGGATCGGGGGCGCACGGAGGCACGAAGACGGTATTTTGAAATGGGGAACAGATTTGAGCTCCTTTTCATTTAACTGTCCCTACTCGCTCCCGATCGCCTTCGAGTTAAGGGGGAGGGGAAGTGCGTTTAACCTGGAAAAGAAGCAGAACCAAGTCAAGAAAATGAAGTTTAGCTCCCCCCCCCCCACACACCCTTTCACCTTGGATACACACCTAGATTTAGAAGCCTCACCAGGCAGTGACCTGTGTAACAAAGTGACCCAAATTTGGCGTGAGCCCACGTTACCATGTTTGGGGAACTGAAACAAAGGTTAAATTCCTCCCTCCCTCCGCTCCATGTCTTAGTAAATATGAGCGGGAGAATCTTTTTCTTTAACGTCTGGAAAGAGAAAAAAAGGTGGGGGCGGTGGTTCAGAACTAAAGATTGTAACATTGTGTTCAGCCTGACGCCACACTTCTTAATTTTGTACGAATGTTGCCGTTTCTAACCCCATTTTGGCTGGAATCTACCTTCTCAGTAAAGTTTAGAAGACTAGCGTAACTATTGACTTTATTTCTCTTTACGATATACTGTAACTTTTAAGTCTCCACTCAGCAGAGCCTTGTGGGAGATGGGGAAACTCCCGGCTCCCTTTGCGTTTGCCTTTGCCTGGAGGGACCTTGGATCCATCCTTTGGTTTGGGAGGCCGTCTGTTCGCCTGCAGGACAGGGGGTGTGCAAGGTGACTCGATGGGCCAGAGAACGTCCCCAGAGCAGAGTCAAGCCCTCAAGCCCGCTGGGGTTGGCGGGGTTCTCCCGCCGTCCTCCCAAATCTGCCGCGGCGGCGAGATCCACAGCGTGGGGTCGGGTCGGGCGGGCAGCAGAGGCTGAGGAGCCGCGCGTCGGCCCCAGAGCAGAAGTCAGGGCCACGCAGGCCACAGGCACGCCACCCAGGCGGGGGATGGGGGCGCTGCTGGTCTCTGTGGACCTCCTGCCTGGTTTCGCTGGGCACACTGGAGCAGGGTTTGTCCAAAGGGCCGTTGGTTTCTTGGCGCCCAGACGGCGAGGCAGGGAGTTAATGCACGCGTGGCTGCCCGGCGTTCCCAAGTCAGGCAGACATCCTGCTCGGAGTTCCACACACCCCAGCTTGTCCTGCCTATGTTTTGGGCCCAAGTAGTTCCGGCTAAAGCAAGGCCAAACTAACACTTAGCCACCACGAAGGAGAACTGACGCTTTCTTCTTGGTTTGGGGAATGAGGAGACTTAGAGGCCCGAGCGTTCCATTCCCAGTTGGATTCCCCAGATTCCAGCTCTCGGACCTCCTGGGGGAAGATGCCCGGAGGCCCTAAATCAGAACTCACTTCTTAGAGGAGAGTGGAAACCGAGAGCAAGAGTGGGTCGCTTACAGTAAATCTCGAACCGCCCAGGCGGATCACGAACATAAACACGTGACACCTCATCAAAAGCAAACTCTGGACCGCGTGCCCCAAGTGTTTTGGTCCCTGCGCATAGCACTTACTTTCTCCTGCGCAGATGAGCTGAAATGTCTCTGTGGCAGGAAAGAAAGGGGTGAGGGACAGGAATCCGACCTGGGGAAGGGAGAGGCGGGTCGGGATGTTAGCTCCAAGGAGCCAGGAAGGGGGATCCGTGAACATTTTCTGACGTCCCCAAAGGGCTTTGATCTTTATCTTATTCGGGTTCCCATTCTGCCCTGGAGCAGTGGCAGGTGCATTTACTTTTGCGGGATTCTTTTGCCACCAGACAGAACTATTTGTGCTTAGGACAATGATTATTTTTATTGTTTTTTAGTGAATGTGGGCTCAGGGTGCATGAACTCACTCTTCCATTAACTGCAGAATGAATTGCGTGCTTTACAGAGCATCTTATTCCGAACCTGGTCTAGAAGATACTTACTGGTTTAGAGCAACAACAGCAAAAAAGTGCTCGCCACCGAACATTTTGCCTGTCTTTCCCCAAATCGCTAATTTTCCACATATGAATCACAGCTTTCTTCCCAACACACACACAACACACCCCCCTGAAAGCACGATGCTTTCTAGTTTTGTGCGTGTTCATCCTCCACAGTCCGTCCCGTCCCGCGCTCCCCCCCCCCACCCTGATTTCCCGTTCCAATATCCGTGTTCAATTCCACACTTGGCCCTGGAGGAGCCCACGGGGGCGGGGAGGTGGGGAACAAGGCAAGAGCTTCTTGGGTCTCTTCTCAAAAACGTGCACTTTCAGCTGCTGGTGATTGGAATACATTGTCTCCATACATCACAGAGCTACTGGGCGTTGGGACTTCTGTTGTCTTTGGTATTCACTGAAACAGATGGAGACACCCTCCTCCCCCTGCGCGCGCTCACACGCGCGCGTACACACACACACCCCAAGCAACAACACAAATTCACACAAGCTCGCGCACGCGCGCGCGCGCGCGCGCTGTCCCCCTCACCCCCCACCCCCGCCACCCCTCCATTTTTTCTCCCTCTTTTTTAAGCAATGCTTTGTTGTGCTAAAACTAGTTGGACGAGTTAGGGTGTTGCTGCTGCTCCCGAGGCCCTGGCCAATGGAACCCGATCCACCCCGCTGTGCGTAAGCGCGCAATTAAGGATTTAACCAAGGCTGTGCTGCGCCTCAGCCAGCAGTCCGCCTGCCGGCGACAGAGCCTCCAGGACTCCCAGCCTCCTCCTCGCCGCCGCCGCCGCCGCCTCCACCTCC